TAAATAAATCAAAAAATAATAAAACATTTGTTTGATTTGTTTTTTCAAACATTCAAATTAAATTATTATTTGAAATATAAGTCAAATCAATGATTTTATAATTTTAGTATTATTAATTATTAATTATTAATTAAAATAATTAAAATGTTTTACAAAATTATACATAACATATAATAAACTATAAATATATATATATATATATATTCGTTTAAAATTTGATTAGTATTCTAAATTAAGAACACACGTGATGCTTTTATTAATTTTAAAATGTTGATGATGAAAGGTCAACTAAAGAAAAGAAAAAAAAAATAGAAAAAATAAAATTACGATAATCTCCTATCAAGAAAAGATAAAAATTTTCATCCTAAAAATGTTTATATTGCGAATTTATAATAAACGCAGTTTATAAACGTCTGACACTTTTAACGAGTTATTTTTTTTTTTTTTTTAATGGCAAACGCAAATTCAAAGAGAGAGAGAGAGAGAGGGATAGAAAACTATTTACACATAACCAATGCCAAACTCAGCTGATATAATAACGACCAATGAGAATAAAGATACGATTGGTATGCTGATCGCTTAGTACTCAATCATCTAATCACATTTTTTATTTATATATTATTATCATCAAATGTATGTGTGTGTTTTATACATATATTTATATATATATATATATGTATAAATAAACGTGTTTTTTGTTTTTTTTTTAAATAATTGGTTACAGTAATAAATAATATTAAAAAAGATTAATGCATCAATTAAATAATTTACACGTGATTGATTTAAAGAGTTTTGAGGTTAATAAAGAATTAAAATAAATACAAAAAAAAAAAAATAATTTCGTGACATATAGTGTTGTAAAATGTGTACATGTGTACATGTGTGTGTGTGTGTGTTTTATAAAATAAAAAATAAACGTGTTTCCTTTTTTTCGTTTGTAAATAATTGGTTACAGTAATAAACAATATATAAAAAAAAAAAAAAAACAAATTAATGCATCAATTAAATAATCTACACGTGATTGGTTTAAAAAGTTTTGAGGTTAATAAAGAATTAAAATAAATAAAAAAAAGAAAGAAGAAAAATTCCACGATATACAGTGTGTACGTAATACATGATAAACATTGATCACATACGAATAATAGTTATCATGATGAATATGATTATGAAATATTTATATTATATTATGAAATATTTGTTAGATTGGATATATGAATAAGTAATCATGGTCAAAACGTGTGTGTGTGTGTGTGTGTGTGAGAAGATGTTTTTTTCCTTGAAGATTTGTTCGAGTGTTCGTCAAATAAAAATATGCATTTTTATAAAGAATTGTTGTTGCTTATATAAAGAAAAATGTTAAATAAAATATTACACACATTGTGTGTGTATTATTAAAATATGAGATGAAGAAAAATGTTAATTTTATATATTACCAAGAAAAATTTTCTAGGGGTTTTTTTTTTCTATTTAAATATTTGATTCTCCAATTATCTCACACACACACACACACACATATATACTAAATAAATATTAAAAATATATTATAAATATTTCCTTAAATATTATTTAAACTAATCGTATAATTATGATTATAATAATAAAAACAAAACTAAAAACAAATGTCTTATAAATTCAGAGAAGGATAATTGAGAAGAGGAAAAAAGTGTGTGTGTTATGTGTATGTGTGTGAGAGAGGAGTGGGGATAAAAATAAATAAATAAAAATCTAATGATGTTCACCTGAGACGTTTACGTCGTTCAACCAATCCAGGTGGTACGGAAAGTTGTTGAGTTTGTGAATTGTTGGCATCATTTCCTTCGATTGGAAAACTATCACCAAATTCCAACTCCTCGTCAGCGTCTGGGTCAGGTTCCCCGACGACAAAGCTTACAGGTGTTGTTTCAGACATCTTTAAGTTATCTTCTTTAATATCACCAGAATAATTAGACCAAAAGGAATTTAAAGAAAAAAAGGAAGAAGAGGAAGAAGAAGCAGAAGTAGCAGAAGAAGTGGGTTCAACGTTGTTAACAAAGTTGTCTTCTGTCCTTAAGGAACACGATGATGATGATGAGGAAGAAGAAGTCCTTGGTTGAGATTCTTCTGATGATTTTGTCTTCTCGTTACCTTCAAAACAATTTCGCGTATACGCAATTCTAAATGATACAAGTATCGTTTGAAATAAATAATAATTGTTAATGAATTGTTAATATGAATAAGTAACCAATTATTCATGGATACCAAAACAATATTGGACAAACACAATGCGAATGAACTAATACTAATTTCAAATTGAATTCCATAATACTATATATATATATAAATATTTAAATAGTTACTATACGTAAAACGATGACTATGTTCTTTTTTTATTATCAAACGTGGAACAATTCAAAAATGTGACTTAACGAATTCTTAATTGTTAATAATGAATTCATACAGTTAAATCTTATCATGTTACAGAAATGAAAATTGCACAAAATAAAAGAACTATTATTATTATTTTTTTTTTTTTTTGAAACAATATTAAAGTTTACTTTCATATATTATTTTAGTCGAGTATATCAAACTGAAGAGAAGACTATTACTGACAAGCCACACACTTGGATGGTTGACGACCGGTTACGTTAAATGTACAGTTGATTTATTCTTCCATGGATTTTATGACAACGAATGGCATGCAAGGAACTCGTTCAAAGTTCATAGTTTCTAAAGATGGACAATCGTCTAAGGTGAACCTAACGTGAGTCGAATTTTTTTTGTTCTTTCCCCTCATTAAACGTGCAACTGCAACAAAAGCTTTTTCAACGTACAATGAAAAAAACAAAACCCAAATACAATTTTATACTGCAACAACGTCATGAATGGAAATGTGTTAGTAAAGATAAGGAAGTGTATTTGCTAGATCATTAAGAACAGTTACTTCAAAAAAAAATATCCTTTTTTCATTTCCACTCATTAATAGTTTGTTACAGGTAAGGATAAAACCATACATTTGTGAACAACTCATTATAAACCTCAAGGAGGTTTTATCATAGTTTTGAATATTTCAAAATCCAGATGTGTATGCAAGCATCAATGATATTTCTATTAATAATTGAATCTGATGAAGATAATAATGAAATTATGAAAGAGAAAGATAATGAGATAAGAAGAAGAACATGATCAAAAAAATAACCTAAGAAATCGATGATAATCTGTTTGGGAAGCAGTAGAAGAGATGTTGCCCAGCTTGAGAAGGCTTTCTACTCACCGTTAAGAGGTCTATGACCGAGCCAATCCCTCACCCTTCTTAAAAGGGAGGACCACCACCCCCACCACTGTCGCCACCACCACAACCACCACCACCAGGGGGGTTCCTCTTCGTGCTCGTGCAGAATCCCCTGAAACCACCTGCGGAAACCAGTTGTAACGGACACCAAACCGTCGATTACCAACAAAACAATTAATGTTTTTAGGAGCACTTTGAAGAGGATACCCCACGATAGATGGTCTGACACTTTTAATTATTTATTATTAATTATATAATTTTTCATATCGGTCCTTAGTTATGAATAAATGACGAATAGGAAGAGAAGAAGGAAACAAATATAAAACTTTTGATATCAAATCAAAGTACCGGTTAATATGTTCAGAAGATTCCGTAGCATACTACTAATTGTACACCTTGTAGATAATTTATCACTTATTTTGTTTGATTAGAAATGTTTCGTATTTCTATTACTTTCAATTTTTTCAGTTTACATCCTATCATTCGTGAAGTCTTGAATCATACTGACGATTTATACTTAACTAAGATATTTATCGGCCTTGAAACGATACGTGTGTCTCTTTGATATTCGAGAGAAGGTTGTATCAATACAAACACGATCGTAGTAGTTATATATTTACACTCGTAGAGTAAATGTATGAATTTATACTCGTAGTGTAAACCGTGAATCTAAGAATATCACGAAAATAGTTGAAATAATTTTGGATTAATCAAAAAGTGGTGGGTGAGGATGGATAACAAATATTGTAACACCTTAAAACAAAACAAAAATATTCTACAATATTTAACATGAGATTTTGGTTTGTGTATAAGTGAACAAAAATTCGAAGAAAATGATAAAGTGATCTAACAAAATGAAGTAATGTAACTAAGAGACTGGTGTGATCCAACCACGATGATGACACGAACACGTCTTCGTCTAAAGTATTAATGTTCGCAAGAAACGATAATATCGATAAGTTAGTTGAAAGAAAAGTCGAATATACAAATGACCGGATGCGACAGTACATTAACACAGTTCAAAGGTCGTGTAAGTATTATGTATGTACGTACGTCCTTGACTTTTACTCTTATATCTCTCTATCCACGTATTTCACCTTACCCTACCCCACACTTCTCTTGTTATTCTCAAAATCATATCGTATTTTGTTGAAACTTTTCTTTTTTTTTACTTTTCCCCCGTTTTTGTTTTGAAATGTTTTTCCTTCGACAAAACACGTATAAACTAACATAACACACACACACACACACACACCGTCATTGATTATTATATGTCAATTCCTTTCTTCATTTTACGTTAGAATCAAAGTACGTACACACACGTCTCGACTACGAAGAAGACGAATAAGAAGACTTACAATTGTTTTACACGTTTAAAGAAGATACTTCATTTTGTCTTGTGCAAGTTTCGGATATTTTATCTTTAATTGGTTTTTAAGTGTCGTTGGAACAAATGCCTGACATTTTGGACTTACGAGATTTATTTAGGTATATATATATATATATATAGATTTATATATACAGGGTCAGATTATCATTTTTTTATAAACTATTTTTATAAAATATTATTATTATTATTATTATTATTTATTTGAATACGTATAATTGATCAAAATTATTCGAATTAAAATTCAATATTTTATATTCAACATACTAAACTTATTATCATTTAATTATTGAATTTACATATGGCAAAAGGAATGATTAGTTTTTTTATCAACTGTTGTAATCGATCCAAATGTCGGTATGGTATTTATAAAACCAAACTGTGGACAAAACAAGGATGTTTTTTTTATCTCACCCTGTATATATTAAAGTTTTATGTAACAATTATGATAAATTTTTGTATTACCTAATAACGTTTATCATTTCAATGATTTATGTGAAATCTTTTTTTAATTTATTTGTATAGTATAAAATAAACATACACACACACACACAGACAGAGAGATACAACACACATATATAGATAAATTAAAAGATAAAATTGTAAAAGAAAGCTGATCTTGTTCTCTTTGATCATTTGTAACATTCGGTTCATTACTTTCTTTAGAATTATTCTATAGCATTGAGATAATTTCCAGATAATTTCCAGATAATTATGCAATAGAAAAAACAAGAATACTAACAATTTCTCTCTCTCTCTCTCTCTCTTTCTCTCTTTCTTTTTTCTCACAATCAGAGAGTTGAGTAGAAATCGCGGAAATCCTTTTCCTTACTTGTTCATTTGTTGTTGTTGTTGTCTTTTTTTTTTATCAAGAAATTGCACGAATAAAACATTTAGAATGGATAAAATAAAAGATACTAAAAAAAAAAAAAACAACATGCAATAACAATAATAATTATCTTGTAAAACAATGATCATTATACGGATTTTAATTTTGTAAAAAGAACGTGCCATTAGACGTAACAATAATTATTATTATTATTATTAATTATTACCTTGAAAATTGATGCAATTTGCACGAATGGTTCGATGACACGAAATTGCATTCGTATAATCGTAATGTACTTTTATTTATAAAAAAATGATAAACAGGAAAAATACGAGATAACAAATATGTTACGATGAAAAAGTCAACTTTTGACGATTGTTTTATTTCAATGAAATTATTTAAATGAATTATAAAAAGTTTTGAATTTTAAATGAAGAGAAAAAAAAAAGTTCTTTTTTGTTTCTGCTTGAAATGTAACATTTTTTAATTGCATTCATCCATACAGGGTGTTCCAGAAAAATCGTAGAATTAATCAAATTAAGATACTCATTTGATCTTTGATTGAAAAAGTAGGTCAAGGCTAATATAAATTTTATTTCAATTGATATACTTTTTTGTTTTGTAAATTGACTCATGATTTATAAAAGATACTCGTTTGTCATTTTTAAAAGTATCATTTTAATTATTCTTCTTTTATTTTTTTATTTTTAACACTTCGTTATTGCAATATTATTTTAACGTTGGTCATTTTGTTTATCACTGAAAGTTGAATTGTTCTTTCATTTTTTCTCTCTCTCTCCCTCTCTCTCTCTCTCTCTCTCTTTGTTTTTCTTTCCTTCTTTTTCTATTTCTCATAATTATACGAGTTGAAAAAAATTGTTTAAACTTATGCAATCCACATGTTAAAACACGTGATTGGAATATGTTATGCAGATATTATAATCATTATGTTATCACAATGTGTTTTTCATGCAGATTTTGCATAGTCCTTCGTTTGAAATTTTACAGTTAAATTATTTAAATATAATTATAAGTACTCATGAACATTACACGTAGAAAACATTGAACAGGTACTTATTTAATTAGTCTAATAATAGAGGAGTTAAAAATATGTACATATACATATGTTGATTTTAAACAAAGTAATTCTTCTTCGTTGTAAGATATTTTGAACATCTTACAACAGCTCATGTTCGCGAGTAGTACGCATAATATAACCTGTAAATTGATTGCATAATACGTCAATTTGTGTCTCGGAAATATCTCACTACTTTTAAGACGTTTATTGAATCACAAACCATGTTGTCATTCTTTTTTTAGTTGTCAGATCAAATGAACCATTCATTAACTTTAACTCATTGTTAGAATTGTCATTAAAAATTAACCTGTCATTTGTCACGTGGTAACGTTACTACGGTACTCAATGATTTGTTTATACAAATATAGATCATATCTATATTCAAATAATTATTCAATTAAATTAAATAGACAAAATATGCCACTGACAAAAATAAATAACGCGGAAGTTAGCGAAATAAATTTAAAAAATATAATATAAATTAATAAAATAACGTTGAATATTAAAAAGAATAAGAAAAATATGTAATTTAATTAATTCTTTTATAAAAGGGAACTTCAATGTTCAATGACGTTTATAGATTTGCACGTGAAGTAATCAAAAGTTGATAGATGTATTCCTATTCGCTGAGCGGCGAGTCAGGCGACGCGGAGGAACGTTTTGATTGGTCGGGTTTAAGCGTGGCGTGTTTCCAGGCAACCCGCGTTACTCCGAAATAACCTTTTCTAATCGAATTTATTTTCGAATAAATAAAACAATTAATGGTATCAAATTAATTGATAGATAATTTCTAAATACGCTAATGACCAATTAAAATCAAAAATAATTCAATATTTTTATCGCAAAAGACATAAAACCATTTAATAACTCACCGGTGACGAATCCTACGCGGCGGGGTGGCACGCTCCTCCCTGAGGTTAGGTTCGTCGTCTCGTGCGTGTTCTGTCATTCGCCTTGATTCTTTCGTACACCGTTATCACAAAGATAAAAAGGAAGAATAAGAAGTAAAGGAAAAAAGAGATGGATAACAATGTCACTAATACGCGCACGAACGAGATGATGCTTATAAAAACGTTCCTCGACGTTGATCCTCGTGTATCAACGTTAACCCTAGGTAGACGTTGATCGCGAAGTCAACTTAAATCTTATTGTCACCTTCCGTATATGCATTGATCTTCTGTCATTAGACTATTTTTGATCTTTTTATCTTTATTCTACACACAGATTATTTTCCGGATAGAGAAAAAATGTCAAAGGGGAGAGAGAAAAAAATTTCTACACCACACTCGCGCTCGGTATATTAAACTAAACCTCACCTTTATTACTTTAACTTCTTCCTCCCCTCATTCTCCATCTTTCTTACTCTACAATTACCTACTATGTATATATGCACGGACTATATGTTATATCATTCTATCTCTTTCTATCCTAATACAAAAACCTACTTCCTTGTTTCCCTTACCGATCGAGTACTTCCCCTATTTCTTTCATAAATGTTTTTTGATTTTCCCACCTAGAGGTCGACACCCTACAGTCTACTCGAGCGCCCATCATGGAGGTATCGACGTTGGATGTTTATTTAATGACAGATATTGTCAAAAGGGTATAATAATTAAGTATTTATATATATATATATATATATAAATAACTTGCTTTTAAATTATATTTCGGAATGTTTTAATATTTTAACGCACTGTTTTCCAACCAATAATCTTATTAATAGAAAGATTAAAAATTGTATGTATTTGGCGCGGTTATATTTAACTTCGATTTTTAATATGTCGTCGATTCAAGAAATAATTCAGCATCGATTATTTTGTATTAATATTAAAAATTGTTGTTTGAAATAGAAAGAAAGAGAAGATAAGATCTTAAATTAAAAATGTAATTTCTTTTTCTTCTTCTTCTTCTTCTTCTTCTTCGAGCGTAAACGCGGGAATAATTTAATTAATTCGGATCAGTTAAGTTGTGTTCATTAACCGTCATAAATTTTTATACATTTATGTGTATAATACGTATGTTTAAATATAAATATTTACTTTCACTAAATGCATTCGAAATGTTTTTCCACAGACGTTGTTTCGCTTTCTCGATTTATGGAAATCCGAAAATTGTAAATTGAAAAAATCCAAGTATATTCATATGGATGTTAAAATGTCAAAGGAACATGGCGGACATTATACGATTCAATTGACCAACTATGGATACTGCGATTATAATCAATCAAATATTTTCAATATTTTAAAATACATATTTAACAATTTAATAATAATTAAATGTTATAAAAATAATCTCGCTATGATTTATTTGAAAGATGAACAAAATAATTTCGAGATAGTGTACGATTTACATTACCCGGCAAAAACAAAATCTTTGTATCTCGTGAAAAATGATGAGAAGGAAAAGAAACATATTGATTTAGTTTCTTGTAGAAAGTATTTGTCGATTATATTGTCGGTAAGTTAAAAGAAATAAAAATCACATCACCGGTTTGATATTTCTCTCTTTTTCTCTCAGTTCTTCTTTTTTTTTTTTGTTGCGTTTGTTTGTTTATTATTACATCTCAAATTTCTTCTTCGCAGTACAAACTGGCGGCGAACGACGTTGAACAATTCAAGGCCACCGTATTGGAACTAATCACTTCTTTTTGCCGAGAAAATCCCACAGTTAAAGTAACATACCGCAAAGATAAAAAAATGCTACACAATAATCACGTACCTCTCGACGACGAGTATAAGGCTTGCCAAATATTGAGCACCGCCGTGACGGATATAGTACGGCAAAGTTTGGACAGCGAATTCAAAGAGAAGTCTTTTGCTTTGTTAAAAACGGAAAATCCTGGACAGTTGAGAGATTTGCTCATGACCCAATTGTTACCTTTAATTCACGAGAATTACATTTTTTCTACCAAGTAAAAATCCATCTCTTTGTTCTAATTGTTTTTTCTTTTTTTTTTTTTTTTATTAAACAACTTCAAGGTTGTCTATACATTCATATATCTCATTTACATAATTTGTTAATTTAAACAGACAAGAGGAAGAGTTGACTGTTAACGAGAGTATCATTTCTTATGAATAACAAAGAAGTAAATTAATATGTACCATGAATATTAAATAGTTTAATGATGTAAGTGTAATGTGTGATCAAAAATGTATTTTATTTCATTTTATTTCTCGTCATCTTTTGAATGATAAGTTTATATATCGGCATACGTTATTGACGCGTTATTTTATTTTGTTTGCAGCTGAATAATGCATCATCCCCCTGTGAAGAAAACGCGTCAGAATACAGTCCGGTGCTGGTCGTTGTACTGACTCATTACATTCCTCGGAAGCGACATTAGGAAGCCTCTAGACTAATGGGTTAAGTGAATTCAACGAGAGGAAAAGAGAGAATAAGAGAAAGAGAGAAAGAGAGAGTAAGAAGATTTCTGTACTTAACTTGGTCTCCCCATTGTTTTCCTACGAGAAATGCAAATTTCCTAGGAAGAAGTATCTAAACTCGGCTTTGAATTTGAAGGACCCTTTTGTAGAAAGGTTATCGACGTGCCGTTATTACGATAACATAATCGAGTGTTACGAAGTAGAGTCTTATCGATGTTCCACCAAAGTTTCTTGGATCTTCTCAGTCCCTTTTTACTTCAAACATTATCTATGCTTCGATCTAATTGTTTGAGATAAATTACTACTCTTTTATGATTTCCCATCGTTGATCATTCGACCCTGTTATCATCTTCTTCAATAATTCATTTCCTATACTATTAATTAACATCTCAAAATTTTATTCGAAAACGCGTGATTTTAAATTCAAATAGAAAAATATATTTCATTATTTATATATACCTTTAATTATTAAATATTATTCTTTTAAATACATTTCGTATTATATTTTAATAAATTTAATGTAATATACGAAAAAAACAGATAAAAAATTTGAACGTTTCGATGTTAAATTTATGAGAAATAATTAATTGTGGAAATAAATCAATTCAAATATTGGCGCGGTCGATCGAGAGTGTCGAGATGACGTATTGCGCGCGCATGGTTGCGCAGTATATCGAGCTCCCCCACCTTATACGGGAGCTCAGTCGGAACGAAAGTGTCAGGTTAGGCGGGTCTGTTGGCTGACAGCGCATTGAAAACAGCGTCGCGCTTTCGGAATCTATCTCGTCGAAGGAAAAAGGTTAACTTAAGCGAACTAAATTCACTCGGGGGTGGTGCATAATAATAATCGTTTAATTTTCTTTCGTGCTTTTTTTATGGTTTTGTGTGTGTGTGCAGTCAAGATATGAAGAAAGGAACTGAGAAGATGAGAGCATAGGAGCGTACACGCAAGTAAGTAATACGTTTCTGGTAATACGACAAAAAGTGAATACACTCGGGACGCAGTAAAAGGGAGTAAGAGAGAAACAGAGAGAGTTTACGTGTGTGTGTGTGTGTGTATCTGTGTATGGAGAGAGAGAGAGAGAGAGAGAGAGAGAGAGAGAGAGAGAGAGAGAGAAACTGCTTATGGAAAAGTAAACGAAAAAGGAAGAAATAAATAACACGGCTCGTATTTCATTGGTCAATATATATTTTCTTTCATCACTGACCGATCATTCTAATGCAACTTTCTTCTTTTCATCATTATCATCGTCATCATCATCATCATCATCATCATTATCGGTAGTAGTGTATCCATGTAAAGTCTCGCCGTTCTATGCACAGGGGTTCTCAATTCGGGAGTGGTAGTGAATATACGCACGCATTCACGCATGCACGCACGCATACGTATACGAAAATACCTACATAAAATCTTACTTATACATTTCAAAATGTATATATATATTATACATTCTAGATCTATTCCCTTTTTGCATACGTATTTGTATGAGTGCAAGGTATGCACTTATACATACATAACGCGTTATAAGTGTATGCGCGAGTGTATGCGTTTTTTCGTGTGCATCCATCGTATGCACCGTAGGAGAGGAAGCATTTGACGAGTATTATTAATACACGAGCAGGGTGTTAGGAAAGACGAGAACATCCCGAAGAGGTGGTGGTGGTGGTGGTGGTGGTTGGCATGCAAGTTTCATCCTCTCGAACCTTTTTTTTTTTTCTTCTTTTTTATTATTTTTTCCTTTTCTTTTCTTCCTACCTACCTCTCTACCTTTTTGCGCGCGACGTCGTCGGCGGCCTTATTTGCACCCGCGAATATCGGCGCGCGCGACGCGAATGAAAATGAGCGCGATCTCCTTCTCCGTATGACTTTCCCCCTATCTTCTCCCCCCAATCTCCTCCTCATCCTCCTCATCTACTCCCCCTTATGCCCCCCCTCTATCTAGTTCTCACTTTTTTTTTTTTTAATTTTCTCTCTCTCTCTTTCTTTCTATATCTTTCTCTCTTTCTCTTTCTCTTTCTCTTTCTCTTTCTGTCTCTGTTTCTGTCTCTGTTTCTCGTTTTACCAGACGTGGCCGTTTTCCTTCGCGGCTCACCTGCGCTTGGCGTCGAGGACGAATCGAATCTCGGTCGTAAGTCGAGCCATAAAGCACAACTCTCTCGGCAATTGTAAAAGTATTGGTTAAATGTACATATATGCATCAGATAGATAGATACACACACATACACATATACACACATTTATATAGATTTATGTTTATGCGTTAGATTGGCCGTGTAATATGCAGGACAGGTTTGAATCAATTAATATCCGTGTATTTTAGGAATATTCAAACTTCCCCACCCTTGTTCTTAATGTAAAAAAAAAAAAAAATAGGTTATTATTTACTCGTAATGTAATATTATTTTCACAATTATGTTTTATGATTATATTCGAGTTTGTAATTGATACGAGTATTATCGTATACGGATGTATTTTATTGTAAGAGATGTAAAAAGTGTATGTGTGTATATATATATATAAGATTGAAACATTATTACATTATTTAGTGAGCTATAAGATTATTCTTGTTTACACCCATTGTAAATTTCAAATAATCTATATATATATATATAGAACTGGTAATATTTGTAATTCTGGTAATAATTGTTGGTTAATTTAACAAACAAAAAATGTAATACAATATTATGTATTTTCAAATTTTTTTGTTTTCTTATAGATAAATATATGTTTTATGATTATATTCAAGTTTGAAATTGATACGACAAATATTATCGTATATTTTATTATAAGGAATAGTAAAAAGTGTGTGTATGTATATATATATACATAACTGATAAGAAAATTGACCCATACGAGAGAGATATCGTCTGAAAAGAAGAAGAAGAAAAAAAAACACATTAGAAAATATAATAATAGTATTTTTATTATATCTTGTATATATATATACAGATTATTTGTGAAATTTACAGTGGATGTAAAAAAAAAAGAATAATCTTAGGATTTACTAATAATATACATGTACAAATAATGTTTCAATGTTATTTTCAATGAAACATATAAGTTTGATCTAAATTTACACAATATTACAAATTGTGTATCATTTTATAAATAGAAAAAAAAAAAGAAAAAAAAACTAGACACACATTTATCATAGAATTTATTTTCACCTGACGATAGATATTATTGACTCACCCTGTATGCATATCATCACCCATGCAAACACGTACGTGTTTTACGTATTATTTGTGTATGCGTATACCCGTATACACAACACGAATACTATTATTCGTTTAGTATCTCTCTCTCTCTTTCTCTCTCTCTTTCTTTCTCTTTCCACACACGACACTTGACTTCCCGTGACATAACCGAGAATTATTCTGCTCGAAAGAGGAAACGAAAAGGAGAAACAGAAAGAAAAGATACAACACGCGGATATTTATTATTAAGTTTCATCAGTTACGTACTTTTCTGATAAAATAGATAATAATAAGAAATAACAATAATAATATAAATGCAATACAAATTTGTAATCGTTTACGAGTGCATTAACACACGTTGAACGTTATGCAAATTCATAGGGAAAATTCTCGTCAGGCCATATGTGTTACTTTGTATAGAAAAATAGAATTGAGTGTCAGTCATTAATGACTGACGTGGCTTAAACGTAAAGTCTAATGTCAGTCATCGATGACTGACATGGCGTTCAACGTATTAAAAGAACGTATTTTCGATTGATTCTCATCCCTCATTGCAAAAAGAACAAAAATTGGGGTCGTAAAAAATGAAACACATACAGGAAACCGGTATTGTACTTAAAAAAAACAACCCCTCCCCTTACCAATGACTGCCAACAGACTGTCGCAGAGACGTTTGCTGGGACAGTTTGAAGAACCCCTCTTCTCTTGTCGTTCACTCCCATTTATTCGAGAAAACGAAGCTAATTCGTGTTGCCAGTTGGTCAATTTTGAGTATCGTTCAAACGATTTTATTTTACGTGTTTACAAAATAAGAAATATTCGTAGAAGAACCCTAAAGTAGGTTGTTTTTTTTTTTTTTTAAATAGGGGGATGTTTAACTCTTTGAGTGGTGAATATTTTGAATTAAAATGTTTTTTAGGAACGGTTTAATTTATTAATAATTAATTATATTTAATAATGCAAGTTTTTGGTTGTCTCAATATAATTAAATATAATATAATTATAATTATAATTAATATAAATATTATATTATTTTACATTAATATTAACACAACACGTATGTGTATATGCAACGAACGATAAAGTTGTTAGTAATTTTTACCAAACGCATATATACGTCCATAGCACTCTAAGGGTTAACAAAAAAGAGGGCAAGTTTATAACTATAATAAATAAATAATCAATATTACTTATACATATTCGAATGAAATTTACAGAATACAAATTTACAGTACTAACCAACCAATAAAGTGTGTACGAGCTTTTTAAAAAAAAAAAACGAGTCAAATGTTTAACCAAGTTCAGTTTTTTTTTTTTTTTTTTTTACTAAATTTATACAAAAATGTTGACAACAATTTTGTGGGTTTGTTTTTTTTTCTTTTCGAATGAAAAATCATTTTATGAGAGTGTTAAAAAATTGAGTTTTTCTTGCACGACATCATAGTCTAGTCGTCATAGTCGTCCGGTAATGACGTGTACCTTCCTTCCCTTTCTCTCTTTATCTTACTATCTTTTTTTTCTCTCTCTCTCTCTCTTTCTCTTTTCTTTCTTTCTCTCTTTTTCTCCCTCTCGTCACGCGAGAAAGCATCGAATTTGCGTTCGCACGTCCGGGTGGGTGGGTGATGGTAATGGTGGTGGTGGTGGTGGTGGTGTCGGCAAAGCACCACAACGACGACGCATTTTCAACTTTGTCGTTGTAGTCGTCTTGTCGATAAATCCAACACACATATACACATATATATTCTCTTCCCCCCATACCTTTGCTTTACCCTTTTCCCATAAAAAAAAAAAAAAATAATTATTCGGATGTATTAAAAGTTATTTTTATTGATTGTGTGTCGTTGAAATCAATGCAATTGCAATTGCAAATGTAAATGCAAATGCAAATGCAAATTTGTGCATTTTCATATGTATAAAGTAATTTTATTATTGCTAATAATAATTTGTTATCTATTTTATTATATATATAATTCTTCTGTGCGTGTGTATGTCGGTGAACTCCTCCTAAACGGTTGGATCGATTTTAATGAAATTTTGTGTGTGTCTTCAGGTAGGATTCGAGAATGGTTTAGATTTACAATTCGGTCCAATTTAAATTGTTTTATTGAATTGTTCTTATACTAAACATTAATTAATATTATAATATATATCATGAACCAATTTGTTTTATCATTCATTGATCGAATTGAAATGATTTGAAATGTAACTTGTAACTTATTAACTTTGGTTAATTATTTCTTTTGATAGTATGTTTTTGCAGACATGTGTGAACACATGTGATTATTAAAAAGAATAGTTTAAGTCTACATAACTTGTGGAGGGTCTCTTGAAGCAGACGCGTCATGACCCTCACGTATCATCTCCTTATAGTGGTGGTGTTGTCGCGCACCCATTGCGTAAGCTCTGGAACACCAAGAAAAACGATCTTTGCGTGTCGTTCTCTTCAGCAATAAACTCTCCTCATACTCTTGTCAGACAGGCAGGCAGGCAGGCACACACATTGAATATACTGAAAAATATCCAATAAAAAGAGAAGATGCATCTTGAAAACAAGGTTTCTTCAAACGAGATTAAAACAAGAGGTTGCATGCATGTACTACAAGATAGGGTTGTTGGGGTCAATAATTATTTATAATAGATTTATTTTCATGAAATATAATTAAATATTAGGAAAAAATATATTCATAAAGTTAACAGTTAGAGGATTAAAATGATCAAGGTTTATCATTTTTTGGTTTCAATTATAGTTGAGTAGTTTGTCAACGTGGTTGTATAGGTCTGGTTTTGGTTTGTATGTAATGTAATGCATTGCATTTATAGTTGCATGTTACAATTAATAAAAAAAAGTATTTTGTTGTTATTTATTAAATTAAATTATTAAACATTTATAGGACTAACAGATCCTGGTTATTATTTTTGTTTTTTTAATTATAATTATATTTAAATCATTATTTATTATATTATATTATATTTGAAATTTATTATATATTTAAAATTATTTTTATATAGAAATATTAATTTTTTTTTTAATTATATATAATTTTATATTTTATTATTTATTATTTATTATTTAATATATTATATATAAAATGATTATATAAATTATATAAATTATATAGATTATATTTACATAAATATAATTATAATTATAAAAACGTGTTGCATCGGTCAGATTTTTTTTGGTTTCCATGCACACAGTTGTATCATAAGATAAATAGCAAAAAAAAAATTATTTAATAAATTAAATTAAATTTTTAACATATTTAATAAATAAATCTTATTACTAAATATTCAAATAAATTATTGCATATCATACATATTAAAAATAAATTATTTGATTTATTGAAATATTAATCGAAAACACAATGCACGTGTTTAATCTGATCGTCACGTACTTAGGATTATTCGAATAATTCAAATGAACATCTATAATTAATTATCTAATTAATCTCATTGTCCATTATCTCAATTCTCTAATTAGTTTTTTTTTTCTATCTACAAATGCATTATTCTCACGGTAGTAAATAAAAGTAAGAAATGTTTAAGTGCATAAGAAAAAAAGATAACAAATATTCTATTGTCAGATTGTATGTGTGTCTATTCTACTAGCACGTGCTGTGAAAAAAAAAGAAAAAAACACACTGTTACACATAATACTCAAACACTTGCATAGCTTTCACGCGAGTATCTAGTTGAAAGGCTTATATCAAATCCTGTAAATCAACGACTGGTTTTTATACATATCTCGGTCATGTAAATACATACATACATATACATGTATATATATTAATGCAAATTCTCAGTCTGGCAAATATTAGCGTCCGGAAAGCGTCAAATTCGCACTATGCCAAGTTTTGCACATCCTCGTTGTGTTCCTCGTCGTCTAAGCTCAGCGAATTTGCCATACTGAAATTTCAGTCGTTCGTTTATCTCATACACACACACATATATATATATACTCACATGTATCTGCTGTTGTATAGTATGTATACATGTTACATATCTTTTATATATAAGTGTATGTGTATGTGTATACAGAATGAGTCAAAAGTATGTTTTCTAATTTAGTTTGTGTGTATGTGTGTACATGTGTGTATATCATATGAACAAACATATTATATATATGTGTGTTAATATATTGAAGTATATGGAGTATATTGTGTGTGTGTATGTGTGTGTATGTGTATTTGTGGGGAACCTTTCGTATCTGCTTTTAGGCAGCAGGATGACGAAGCCCAAACAGGCTCGAAAGAGTACGAATAAACTTCTATGGATTCAATTTTATCGATCTTAAGTTTACCTTTTAGTAAAAAAAAAGAAAAAAATTATAATTCTAATTAAACAAAAAAAAAAAAAAAAAAAAAAAAAAAAAAAAAAAAGAAAAAAGAAAAAAGAAGAAAGGAAATTATGATGAATCTATCGCATTTTGATATATCACGTTGAAGGTTTGATTTTAAAGTTAATTAGTTTGGACTTTGAAACTTAAGTTAATTTTATTTACGACATGCATTTAAAGTCCCTTTTCTCTTCTCCCTTTTCTCTTCTCTTCCCTTTTTCCCCTCTTCCCAACCCCCCCTCTTTCCTTTTTACGAACGAACGGATGTGGCGTGGACTTTTTACTTACTTGCGGCTTTTTTCTTTTTTTTTTATTTTTTTTTATTTTATTTTCTTTTTCTTTTACAATTTTTATTTCCGTCCTTTGCACTCTCCTCCATCTCCTCCATCACCTCCTCCTCCTCCTCCTCCTCCTCCTCCTCCTCCTCCACAAGAGGAGAACACACACTGGCCGCGAGATCTTCCGAACTCGCGAAGAAATGAAAGACAAGCGGGGGAAAAAAAATATATTAAAGAAAGAAAAAAAGTTAAAGAGAAAGAGAAAGAAAGAGAGAGAGAGAGAAAGAGAGAATGTGTAAGTGTGTGTGAGAGAAAGAGAGAAAGAAAGAAAGAGAGAGAGAGATGACAAAGAAGACTCATCTTTCTCTCCTCTTTCGCCAGTTAAGCTCGGCCAGCCGGATATATTCTCCTCTTCGTGAAAGACAGATTCTTTCTTTGTGAAAGAGACCGAGAACCTTCAATGATGAACCATCATCCAACTAACCAAACTCAAACTCAAACTCAAACCAAACCAAACCAACCAAGTTTGATGGTAGTTTTTACGTTAGACCGGATATCACATCTTTTTTTTTTGAACAAATTCAATTCACGAACAATCATCATTGAAACTCATCTATATTTTTTTGTTAATTTGAATTTTTGTATTTTTTTTTTAATAATAAATTAGAAATCAATTGGGACACAACAACAAAGTAGAATCGAAATTAATGAACAAATATATTAATTAATAATAATTAATAAATAATACAAGTTTCTCTTAAAAGTGTGTTGCATTATAGAAACATTTCATTTTGTTTGATTAATCATTGATAACATAAAAATTGTTATTGGATATTAGAGGTTACATTGATACTACTTCATAATTTCATAATTAAATCAAATTTTTTTTTCTTTTTTTTTAATAATAACGGGTGTGACATATAAAATGTATCTATCAGAAGATAATAACATATATATTGAAACATTTGTCCCGAACATTTTCATTTATTTCTTCTTGTTGATTTGAATTGGGGTTGTTTCTGTTTTTTTTTTTTTTTTTTTTTTTTTAGAAGGTTGCATTCAAATTTAAAGTTATATTTGTTGCAATGTATAGTAAAAGAAGATAATAAAAAAGAGAAAGATAAGTTTACAGTAGGATGAGAATTGCGTTTTACTTGGCCGACTTTCCTCGGGCCCCCTTCAATGATTCCTCGTTTCGACAAAGGTCACCGAAAAGGCTCTCGTTCTCTATTCCTCTCTCTCTCTCTCTCTCTCTCTCTCTCTTTCTCTTGTTTACGAGAAAGAGAAAGAAAGAAAGAAAGAGAGAGAGAGAGAGAAGTGTCCCGTAGGCCGTGTTGCAAGGTCGTAGGCTTTTAAAACAGTATATCCATCCAACTGCTTTCAGTTCGACGCAGTGCAGTAAATATCAACGCTTTTAATGTTAAACGTAGCGTATGTATCTGTATATATGTGTGTATATATATGTGTGTGTGTTTGTGTATGTGTGTGTTGTATCGAAACTTTTATTATCACTTTACCTTCACCAACAAAACAACCAACCAACCAACCAACCAACCAACCAACCAACCCCTAAACTCGTTCCTAAGTCTTGTATTTGTGTATGTGTATTGTGTGTGTATTTATGTGTTTATCTCTCTGTTATTTTTCTTATTTTTATTTTTATTATTTTTATTATTTTTTTGTTTATTAATATTGTGTTTGTGTGTGGGTTTATCTTTTATTTATATTAGTTATTCTATTTTTACGATAAGTGTATTTACTATATATTACGTTGTATGAAATATTAATAATTAAATATATTATTATTTAATATTTAGTATATTTAAATATATTGAGAAATATTAATATTAATAATAATAATAAAAAATAAGTATATAATATTTCTTACATTTTTTTGTTGGTTTGTTTGTTTGTTTGTTTGTTTGTCGATTATTATAATTTGATTCGTTTTCTTCAAGAAGAAGATGATGAAGAAGAAGAAACATAAATTTTAATAAAAAAAAAAAAAAAATGGAGAAAGGTGCGGGCTTATATTTCTTTCGACACGATCGTTAACTCATATATCCGCTTTCTTGATTCTCGTGTGATAAGTTTGACCCCTATAAATTATAACAGCCCTATTTCCAAAGGGATCAATCAGTATACAGTAGTACAGTTGTTTTATTATATGGTTGTATCAAAGAGAAAGTATCCGTTGAAAAAAAAAAACAAAAAACGATTTTATAAAATATTTTCTAAAAACAACACTTGAATTAATTCAACACTTGACAATAATTTCAATTATTCACAAGAACAACAACAACAACAACAACAACAACATTTTAATAAATCCTTTCATTTTCTTTATCAATGCATGCAACTCTCCTCTTAACGTGAAAAAAAAAATGTCAGAGAGTTTAATGCAAGGATATAAACGATAACAATAACAACAACAACAAATACGACATACTATATTGTACATTTTTATTTAATTTTTTAATTTTTTTTCTTAGGACATTTGTGCACATATACAGGGTGATCGGTAACAAGACAAATTGTTATTCTATATTTTTGATTTAATTTTTCCATGAAGACTCACCCCCTTTTTGTTTGTATCAACAGTTATCGATCACCCTGTATATTAAATATATATTATAGTAATTATCATTTTGTATAGTATTATTATTATTATTATTATTATTATTGTTGTTGTTGTTGTTGATGGATGGAAGGAACGTGCTAATGTATATATATATGAATGTAATTTTTGTGTAGAAAAAAAAAAAAACAAAGAGAAAACAAAAAGCAGTGGAAGAAGCATAATGGTACTACGTTCGAGAGGAAAGTAAATACAGTGGCCGTCATCCTGGCACGTGGTGGTAAACCGGGCCAAAGGCCTGGATCCTCGTCATCCTCGTCCTCGTCAACGGAGAGGTTGCAAAGGATGCCAGGACCAACTCAAGAGAGACCTCGAGCTCATCGGCTCACCGACATCGAGCCACAAACCGCCAAGGTGAGTTCCACTAATTTCATAAACCTTCTCTCTCTCTCTCTCTCTCTCTTCCCCCAACCCTCTCTCATTCATTTTTAATTATTTTAATATTAATAATTTTCTAGATTATATAATCCAATTTCTAGTTTTATTCATTGATAAATATGTTTTATTTATTTTGTGAATTTTTATTATAAATATTATTTATTATTAATTTAACACGTTGACGCCGGCGCCGATTTTCAATGTCTGCGCTGTGGGGCGGCACTCGAATCTAAGATGCGTTTCATCTGGCGGCGCGTGATTTTTGCTTGTTCAAATCTGCACCAAGGTGGACCACCGGTGGTACGCGCCGCCCGATGAGACAGTCTAGTGTGGGACACTGGTGGTACGCGCCGCCCGATGAGACAGTCTAGTGTGGGCCACTGGTGGTACGCGCCGCCCGATGAGACAGTCTCTAGTGCGAGCCACCGGTGGTACGCGCCGGCGTGAACGTGTTAAATGTTAATTTGTTTAAATTAATCATATATAAAATTTATTATAAATAAAAAAAAAATGATAAAACAATTTTTCTTCAATCGATCCTAGGGTATTTCGTATCGATCGATCGATCTCGAGTTTAATCTATCCTTCACTTAACTCCAGATGCTGTGTGTGGTTTATGGTTGCTCATGGTGAGAGTGACTGAATAAGAGATGAATATATATATATATTTATAGAATGTGTATGAGAGAGAAGAGTGATAGGACAACCGCAGCAGAGAGAGAGAGAGAGAGAGAGAGAGAGAGCTTTCAGGTTTTGCGCATGTCTTCTCGTAGCACAGAACTAGATCGATCTGTAACAGTTTCGAATGATAGTACCAGTTCCTCTGTCTTTATGTCAACCTTGATTACACTTGTTACTATTCCACAAAGGACCTAAGAACCATTATAGGATGATGTTCAAGTTTACTATAGATTGATCACTATATTACCTTTATACGAATGTTAACTTTAACTTTACTCAACACTTCATTTCATTTCATTTCATTCTATTCACTTAATTAATAGTTTCTGATTTGATTTGCCATACCCATGCCCATAACCATACTCATACCCATACCTCAGGTTAATCAAATATCCAATAATCTCATTTTGATAATCTCTTATTGATGTGTTTGATCTGTTATCAGGAAATTACTAGAAAATTACTAGGATTGGAAAGGTTCCATTTAACCCAATGTTTGATTTTATTTATTTAAAATTCAATGTTTCTAATTCAATTTATAATTTTTAAATTATTACAGATTTTTTCTTAATTAAAAAGTACTTTCACAATTTGTTATTATTATTTTGTATTAATAATTGCATAAAGTTTTAATTGAATTTGATTAATTACCTTTGGTATCAAAGATCCAAAGTTTTTCTTTTATTTTGTTTTGTTTTGTTTTGTTTTCATCAAAAATTCTTTTAAATTGTGTACACTTTCAATCAACCTTACGATAGAAAATTGCAATTTTCATGCTATACCCAATTACCCTTTTCAACACCATATCACTACGTAATTAACAATTCATACTTCATTTATTCACACTTGAATAATACACGAAACCTTTAATCAATTTCAATTTGTCCTCTTTTTATTTCACATTAAAAAAAAAAAAAAAAAACAACCAACTTTTGCAACATTGATACTCATAAATCGATTAAACGTTTAACTGGTTTTAAAACCGATCTACAACGAAAGAAAAAAACAAAATCCTTATCGTTCACTTCAACTCATTTCTATTTTCTTGATTTACAAATGCAAATAGTTAACAGTAAAATGAACGTACGTACGTACGTATGAACTTAGGTACGAACGAACGAACGAACGAACGAATGAACGTACGAACGAGATCTGAATTTCCACCTACGCAAAATAATTCCATAGACAACACAAACTTGTATGTTAAACTCGTATGTATACCTTCGATAGCAATCCGAAGATGGATGAGAATCTATTTAAGGAGAGAGCCACGAATAGCCACATTTTTCTAGATCCACGTAAGCTTGTAGTTCGTTGTACCTAGGATCGGTGTAAGCAACCAACTAACCCAACCAACCAACCAACCAACCAGATATATACAAAACGCGTTTATCGACCTATCTTGATAGGATCATCAGGTTATTCTTGTTGGATTGATACAAAACAGATTTATATTATTTACATATATTTTCTACAAAAAAAAAAAAAAAAATTAGATTGACGTGTATACTCGTCATTTGAAGAAGTGGTACGATTTTTCTATCGACGTGTATACTCGTCATGAAAAAGAAGTAGTACGATTTTTCTATCGACGTGTATACTCGTCACGAAAAAGAAGTAGTACGATTTTTCTATCGACGTGTATACTCGTCACGAAAAAAGAAGTAGTACGATTTTTCTATCGACGTGTATACTCGTCACGAAAAAAAAGAAGTAGTACGATTTTTCTATTGACGAGTATACAAGTCATCGAAAAAGAAGTAGTACGATTTTTCTATTCACGAGTATACACGTCATGCGTATAAAATATCGATCAATTGGCTAATTGAAATTGTAATTTTTGCGAAAAAGACCAAAAAATATATTTTGAAATTGCATGATTTTTTTTAAATATTTTGAGGTGGTGTATTTAAAAAAAAAAAAAAAAAAAATGAAGGGTATAGTAAATATAAGGGTGTGTGGAATTCTGAGTGTCCTTATAATCCCGAATTTTTCATCTTCTTGGTCATATGACTTTTGGGGTTGGTTGTGACTCGTAAAGTCGCATTTCAAAGGAGAACGCGGAAGTTGGACTCTATTTCGTTCTTGTCCCATCTCTTTTTATCTCGTTTTTCTCTCTCTCTCTATCTCTCTCTCTCTCTCTCTCTCTATTTCTCTCTCTCTCTCTCTCAGTTCGTCCATCTCGTCGGCAACGTGAGAGCAAATCGATAGGCTGGTGTGGTGGTGCCAGTGGCGTTCGTGTCGTGTCGTCTAGTATATTCCTGCGTTCCCCAGTTTTATCCTCTTTACCTCTTCTTCTTCTTCTTCTTCTTCTTCTTCTTCTTCGTCTTCTTCTTCTTCTTCTTCTTCGTGTTCATCCTCTAAGAAGACTTACCACTACCATTACTACCACTACTTTTACTCCTACTTGTACTTTTACTCTCCTACTGGTGCTATTACTATTACTTCCAAGGAAAAGCTTCGCTATTTTTTTTACCCCATCCCCCTTTTTCCCTCCTTTTTCTCCTCGTACTTCTACCCCCTCATCTAAGTTCTCAGTCCTTCAAGAGAGAAATGTTCCAAGACGACCGTAATGGTGGAAATAGAATTTTATATCTATGTCTTTCTACAAGTTTATGGTATACCAAAGGAAAAAAAGATTATCTTCTATCCTTCTATATACTATATATATAGTAGTAGTAGTAGTAGTAGTATACTAGTATATTATTATATATAGTAGTAGTAGTATACTAGTATATAGTAGTATAGTATTTTATATCTTTCTTTTCTTTCTAATGTATTTAAATTACGTGTCACGTTGTTTGTCCGCAATGGACTCCTAAACTACTGAACCGATTTGAATAAAATTTTGCACATTGTGTGCAATTTCATTCAACTTGAAAGATAGAATAGTTTACATCTTAATTTATAATTGCAATATTATTTTATTAATCGCGAATTATGTATAAAAGTATGTTTTGGCTAAAAGATATTTTGTCAAATAATATTTAAATCTAATTAATTAATACTTTAATTATCGTATAATTAATAATTATATCAAATAAATAATATCGTAAAATTTTAATTGAAATTCTCATAAAAATTCTGCTTGAATGAATTCATTTTTTTTCTTTGAGACACCCTGTCATGGATTGCACATCCTATTTTTAGTAAAACGAGATTTAAAAGAATTTTCTTTGCTGTTACTGGTACCTGTTACCTTTTACCTTTTACCTGTTACCTGTTGTAGTTGTTGTTTTGATTATGATATATGCTTTTATGTTTTATCGCCTTTTTTTTTTCTTTCATTCATTCTTTGACTCGTTCTTTTGAACGAGGAATTCAAACGATACGTCGTTTCCGGGATGAAGTTTACCAAAAGACCACGAATATTTAGAACGTGCAAACATGGACTTTGAACTGAGGGTAATGAAGCTTGCTTTGCTAGAAGAACCCTCCCAAACCACTCCCCCCCAACCCCACATCAACCCCTTGCAACTGAACTTTGCTCCATTTACTCGTAATATTCTGACCCAACCACCCCCTTTTTTTTATCCCTTTGCTTATATCCCAATTTTTTTTCTATCCCATTTTGCACAAGATTTTGGGTTTTTTTTTTATTTATTTTTATTTATTTATACGGTTTTTAAACAAAATAGTTTTTATTTTTTTTTAATTTTAAATAATGAAAATTTAGGACAAATAATTTGGTAGTTTGACCACGTTGATTGATTCAACCAATTGTATAAGGATAAACAAATAATATTTAAATAAATTAATAATATTAATTAATATTTAATATTTAAATATTTAAATATTTTTATATCAAAAAAATATTAATATAATAATTATAATAAATTTATTAATTAGATTTTTTGTTTTGATTTTTTTTTTGTAAATAAAATTCGTGTAGATTTTAATTTTTATTTTAATTTAAAAAAACATATATATATATTATTATTATTATTATTATTATTGTCATTATCAATTTATACGTGAAGAAAAGTGAAAGAGAAGTATTGTTGAACCTTGAAAAAAAAAAAAGAAAAAAAAGGGCCATTTAAAAATGTGCTTACAGGGCATTAGTCGAGTGATACGACGAAAGCAACATGGACGACATCAAGCGCCTTTTCTTCTTCTCTTTTCTATTCTTTTCTTTTCTTTTCCATCTCTATGTTTTTATCTGTTTTATTTTTTAACCCTTATCTCCTCTTCACCCTCTTGTAAAGTAATCCATGCCAAAAGATTTGCTTTATAAAGTATTTTATCTTCTGAGAGGATATTTTATTCGATTTATCGTAGTATTTTGTGTTTCC